ATATATACACAGTTAGAAATTCCTGCAAGGAAAAAAATGACTAGATTATTCATATGCTCATAATGACAAAGAAAACACTGCTACTTCTCCAGTTGGAAGTCAAATGAGCCAATGGTAAACCTGACTCTCTGTTTCTCACCAGTACCCTTCCTATGGTTACGAACCCTTGGGTGGATGGCTGCACCACCAAACCATCCCTGTGCTGTCTCAACAGCATCCCCCGAGTCACACCGCCACCCTTCAGCCTCATCACCACCTCCCAGTGGGGCCAGCTCAGCAGCCCGTGGTCCCCCACCAACCTCTGATGCCAATTCCTGGCCACCACTCCATGACTCCAACCCAACACCACCAGCCTAACCTCCCACCAACCGCCCAGCAGCCCTTCCAGCAGCCTTTCCAGCCCCAAGCTGTTCAGCCACAGCACCACCAGCCCATGCAGCCCATGCAGCCCATGCAGCCCATGCAGCCCATGCAGCCCATCCAGCCCCAGTCACCTCTGCACCCCATGCAGCCCCTGCCCCCACAGCCAGCTCTGCCTCCACTGTTCCCCATGCAGCCCCTGCCCCCCCTTCTTTCTGATCTGCCTCTGGAAGCTTGGCCAGCAACAGACAAGACCAAGCGGGAAGAAGTGGTAAGTACACCTTGAAGCCACTAAAAGGCAAATCCTGGGGAAGTGGTACAGCAGAGCTGGGTCCGTAGTTCTAAGTTCACAAATAACTCAGGGCCTACAGTTGCATAACTACAGGCCCATGATTTTACTAGGTCCATGCATGTACTGTAATTTTATGCTATAAATGCATTTATCTACTTGGCTTGGTAATTAAGACCAGTTTTGATATGTATGGGTTCAAATTTGACAATGACTGAATTTCTATCAGAATATATATTACAGAAACCCATCAACTCAGAGTAATAGTGAAAGGGAATATCAATTTTTATATTCCAAAGGTTGACTAGCTAAACTAAAATTGCAGTGAGGATTTAAAAAAGGAATACTTTTCAAGAGTGAAAGGGTACAAATATTTGAAAAACTACGAAAAGCAAATAGGAAATCTCTTTACATCCCTAAAGGAAGATTAGCTGTTTAAACTGGTTGTCAAACTTGAAGGAAACTAAAACAGACAGTTAGATTCCTTTTCAGTGCTGAGGCCCAATAAATTGAGCTTTTAGCCAGAAGTTATCACAGTTAAGTACTAAATCCTCTTTCATTATGGGGAGCTCTTCCAAACAAATGGGAATAGTCAATAAAATGACCCTTCTCCACATCTATAAATGCTGCGTGTGAGATTATGTGATTCTAGTTTATAAATGCTATTGATGGTTTTACTACTGAGAAGCAGAGACGAGTGAGTTGGAAGTAACCTAGATGGGGAGCCAGGACACCTGGGTTCCAGTTCTGGCTTTGCCCTCAAAGAGGAGGTAGCATTGCACAAATCACTTCAAATTTATGGGTGTCTTCACTTCTTTAAAATATGGGAAGTGACCAAATCAGCTAATTTTTCTTTTGCCCAACTATAGATGCTGTAGTTTCCTAGTAAGAAATTATAATAAATACCAGATATGGCTTCACAATTGTGAGCAATTTATAGAGAAGATGAGGTAGAATATTTAAAAACTGATTGGGATGAAATAATGCGGTGCCTATCATTGATCATTCTAATATAAGGTACATGTTCTCTGTTTCCATAGAAAATAGATTTATTTACCTCTTTATTAAATAATTAACATCATGGACTTTCTAATGTACACTTACCTTCCCAAAACCACTTATGCAAAGGTGACTTTGGACAAATAATTTGAACTCCTTAAAACTCAATTTCCTTTTGCTTAAAATTAGAGTATAACTATTGATAGTTTTTTTGAGTTATTTCATGGAAAATGAAATAAAGTGATGAGCTCAGAACCTGGAAGGCAGGAAGTACCCAATGAAAGGTAACAATTGTTATTTTATTATTAAATAATAGACCATATATCCTGAAGGTAGGGACCTAATATCTAATGACAATGACAGAAGAAAGACACTTTAGAAGTTATAGAGTTCAACTCAGTGGTTGTACATTGTTTTGACAAGACAGAAGCCACACATGTTATTGTAAACGGTACTCACTGAGAATGTTTGTAAATTATTTTAATTGTTCCTTTTGCTATTTTTTTCAGGATTAAAAATCAGAAAATGAGAGAACTGAAGTAGATATTTCAGTTGCTTTTAGGAATGACACAAGAACACAATGATTTGTGCCTGCAATCATTTTATTTAGCAAGTTCTGTAACTAAAAATAAGTATCAATAGCAGACAATAAAATGTTTTAAAAATCATTCATGTCTTTGTGTTGAATTAAACTTCACTTTTTTGTGGTACTGAGGATTGAACCCAGGGCCTTCGCACTGAGCTACATCCCCAGCCCTTTTTATTTTTTGTTTTGAGACAGGGTCTCGCTAAGTTGCTAAGTTGCCCAGGTTGGGATCAAACTTGCGATTCTCTTGCCTCAGCCTCCCAGAGTGCTGGGATGACAGGTGTGCACCGCCACGCCTGGCTTAAAGTTAAATTTGCATGTCACTCTAGAGAGTATATTATAAATCAATATTCTTGAATAAAGTAGGAATTGTTTGTTTACACGTACAAATTGACCATTGGGCAGGCAAATAAGACTGTATTTCTTTTTAGAGAAACTTTTTATTATCTCAAAACTTTTTTAAAAAATAGAAGTTTATACATCAGTTATAATAGTCTATAAAGTGAAAAATGATGAACATGTACAGTCACTGATCCTGAACCAAATGAAGGAAAGTTTAGATGAAAAATGCTTTGCATTGAGAAAGATAAACTTTAAAGTAATGTTTATATTATAAAATGACTTAGGACTTGGCCCATTGGCTTTATGCTTCACACCACATTAGTAATCAAAATTTGGTCTTTTGATCTCATTTTACAGAAAAATATTTTAAGTGAAATTATGTGATATGTATAATATACTAAATTTAAAATGATTGAAATAATTAATCTTCCTAAGAAAAAATTTAGTAATGGAGCTTCAAATAGAGAACCATAGTGATTTTATATACAAGTCATTTCTTTCACTTCATAATCTTGAAGATGATAAATTTTACTGCATAGTCTTCAAAATGTTAACAAATGCATAAAATGAACTCAAAACAAGTTTTTTCCCCACTCATGTTTATATCTGAATCCTTTTTTCCTCCTACACCCACACAAAATTGTAAACAGTCTGTGCAGGGTTTATATTACACAGCATCCACAGTAACTTTATTCCAGTACCTTTATGATTAAGGTCCCTTAATCATTTTCTGGAATGAATAAACATAATTTTACCGGGAGGGTGTCAATATTCAAACAAATAACTTGATTTTAAATGATTTAGATTCAATAAAAATGGTAAGAAGGCTTTTAATCAGTTGGCATGGGCCAATTTAATCAATTGAGTAAATATTTATCAAGTACTGTCTAGGACAAGGCATTAGCACATTTCACCATGTGCTGGTGAAAACACTAAGTCACCATTCTAAAGGTATCTAGAATCTACCAAAGTGATCAAACAAGATCACAAGAGAAGGACAAATTATGTTTATGTTATGGTAGAAGTACAGTCAAATTGCTCTGGCAAATATGGCCACCATCACTAGCGAGCTGCCTAATAGCTTTCCTCACCATTTCTTCCTTGTTGCCAGAGAAGGAATTCATCCCAGCATCTGGCCTTCCACCAGCTCAGGAGAGATGCACCTCCTTCCCTGCCTGAGGTGGTGAATGTCCATTCTTCCATGCCAATTATGGCATCAACTACCAAAGCTATTTTTGTCCTTATCAGTGATTGGCTTAGGGATGGGTTGTGGTGGACCCTGAACACTGAGTGAGGACAAGGGCAAGTCTCTTGGGAGAGGAATACCCTCTAGGGAAACATTTGCTCTCTAATTAAAAAAAAATACATAGGTCCATGCTAGGAAAAAGTGTGGCTCCATCTTTGGATCTATTATTTTGAAGATGATGCCCATACCTGTGTCCATCATCTTGTGACCAGGAAGGGAAAGTGGAAAGATGAGAAGTCTCCGGGGTTTTGATGACCTCATTGTACCCCTGTATTAACCAATCCTGGGACCAGCTGCAGCTGTCCTGCTCTTTCAGTGGAGAGCAAGAATTGTGGAATTAAACAGTTAGTACTTTTGTAGCCTCAGTCAGATCAGCGAACTCAAACTCTTTATGGTCTTAGCTATAAAAGTAAGGGTGGTGATACTTGCTGGAATCATGTGAGAAAACATGAAAAATGTATATGAGAGATGTAGCACAGTACCTGACACACAGGAAGAACCAACTAATGTTTACCTTCTTTCTTTTGTAGAAGTCACATATTCAGGCTATCAATATTGACAGGACTACATTAGTGAGTCTATATTTCATACTGCATTAGTGAGTTTATATGTTGGGTAAAACTCATTTAAATCAAATGCATTCTACTGTCTCTTTCTCTTAAGGTGCATACCCCTTTGAAGTGGTACCAGAACTCAAGGCAGCAGGTATGTAGATATTTTGTTCTTTATTTACTTTTGATAGATAATAGGCATGTATTTAAATTATTTTATTAACTGAAATATCATGTGGATTCCACATGCAGTGAGGGCCAGTATTGCTGAAAGTCTGGTGGAGGTGGATCAGGTTCAAAAAGCAGGGAAGCCATAGGCAACATAAAATGTCTATTATGTAAACCTTTAAAAGTTGGAAGTCTGCAGTAACTTTTCATATTGGATTAGTTCTCTTTTGATTTCAGTAAATGCCTGAACTATTGCTAACCTAAAATTCAATGGACTCTCCACTGGCTACAGTGTACATTTTTCTTTCCTATGCTTAATTATATTGAGTTTGAATCATGCTAGAGGTCAACTTTAACAAATAACTCTAACCAGAAAATAAGTTCACTTATTAGAAAAGGCAAGGGAAAATACGAGTTAACAAGCCAATTTCCAGGATGTATTTTCAGAACTGTCTATCTTAATAGCATGTATTGAGGACGGAGATTCAAAAAATTATCTGAAATTTCTCATTGTCAAAGACAGTAATAATTGCAACATTTTCCAAGTCAAAATTTAGATGTATAGGGTGATAATGCAATGGAAAATTGCAAACCAGAGATGAATATTAACTGGTAATTACCCTCCCTACCTGTACTATCCAATCTGGTAGTCCCATGTGGCTATTTAGATATCAATGGATTAACATTAAATAAAATTTAAAATTCAGTGTCTCAGTAGCAGGTGACACATTTTAAGTGATAAACAGCCACACTAGATGTGTGACTATAACATTGGACAGTATAGTTGCAGAACTTTTCCATTTCCATTGCGAGTTTTATTAGTCAATTTTTCTACACACTGCTCTCTGAGCTAGAAGAAAACTTTTATTAATTCAAACATTTTAAATAAAAGACAAAACAACACAGATTTTTTTGGCTAAAATTGTTAATCTTAAACATCCACAACAAGTTATTTCTTAGCATGTCAGTGATTCAGATCTCTCATGAACATTTTTCTAAGAATGAGAGAAGTGTCATTCTTTTCCTCAGGCCAAACCACATACAGAAAATGGTTTCCCCTCTAGTTGTCCTTTAAAACAGATAAATCCGGATTTGAAATACATTAATTTTCCTGCTTATATTTGAACTGATTTACTACCAAAGGATTTTTCTTTTTTAATTTCAGACTGTAAACCAGCAATATCCGCACTGAAAGTAGAAGGCGAAGTCTGCCCTTGACCTAGAAATTCAATGGAAAGTGATTATAGTTTAAGCTGAAATAAAAGATAAAAATAAGAAAAAAATACTTGTGTCTGTCTTTGAGAGAGATTTACTGCCTGTAAACATTAGAAAATACTTACATTCTCTCTCTTTTTTTTTTTTGCTGTTCAAACTAACAGTGTAGCATGAAACATGGGGATACACACACACACACACACACACACACACACTGGATTTACTCATAGTAAAAAGACATATGTGGAGACTCATACCTTTTGAGGAACTTGAAATTTAAATAAAGCTTCACTCCTCTCCAACCTTTGAAAAAATATATACCTATGGTATGAATTATTGCTACCTAGGTACATCATACTTCTTCCTATAAAAAATTCTATCAAGGAGAAAGGTCAAGTTGCTCCTTTTATTTGCAACTAATGTCAAATTTACTTCTCTTTTCTTCCTAATGCCACACAAAATGAAAATCTAGACTTTCCCCCTAAATCTGAAGTTATCCCCTTGGAAGTAAACAATAACAGGAAATACAAAGACTGAGTTTAAATCCAAGACTTAGAAAATAATATATCAGATAACTCTGTTGATTTAAAAAATTATGTGAGATTCCACTGTGTATAGCTTAACAGGAATCACAAGAGAAAAACAGTATCAACCAATTTTCTACATTTCTGGGACATAGCAGGATCTAGTAGCATTTCACCTTGTCTTAAGTAGATACTCATCAATCTATGCTTTTTATGAAATTCTTATTAGTTAGAGTTTTCACTTATTTTTGGTGATTTGGCTCCTAATTCCTTTTCTCCTCACTTGTTCTGGAGGCTCATCAGTAGGGGTCACTGGCTGACATTTAGATATGAAAAAATACTTGCCTGCTGTGAAAAGTCCATACTAGCTTCTTGTGAAACACCTGACTCTTCTAGAAGATAAGTAATACTTGAGGAAGAAGACTGGGGTAGGCATGGTAAGGGGTGAAGAAGCTGAAGATAGAAGAGTAGTAATTTGTGTTCCGAGACAATTACCTCAATAAATCACACCTGGCTGCTTTATCAAAAACCTAAGTCAATAAAGCCCCCTTATAAATATTATTGTCCCATGGTTGACCAAAAACACCCCAAGATCAGCATTTATTTTCTTACTATTAAATTTTTCCCAATAACATTAAACTATATCATGTCCTGAAAACATCCAAGTCTTGTTTTCCTCCCCCAAGCATTTTCTGTGCTTCATATTTAGTTGTGGGATGAGGGGACTCTGGGACCAGTTAAGTGTCCACCCAAGTGAAAAGATGCTTTCCAGTGTCGTGGGTGTAGTTGGGGGTGGATATGCCCATTTTACAACCAGAGTGTTGTGTTCAAAATCAGGACATAGACTATCTTCTGTGGGAATGTGGTCAAAGTTCTTAGCCTCTCTGTGCCTCCGTGTCCTCAATGTCCTGTTGTCCTTCTCTGAGTCTTTTCATGTTACTAATCTCCAAGTTCAATCATTGCTAGCTGCAGCTCTTATATTCCCAAGGGAAGCCTTCTTCTGACTCTGTGGGCCTCCAAAGGGAATACTACACACTTGGAAACAGGGGTCTCCCAGAATTTTGGATGCCACACGGAAGTTTCCCATGCCAAAGGTTTCAAAGTCGATCGTGTTTGCTGTTTCTCAATGTGTCATCTCCCTTACTGAAGGTGAGATTGTGTGATCCCCAATTTCTTCTACCTGACATCCTCAGGTGCTATTCTTTGTCACCCCGCAGACTGGTCCTCACCCTCAATTTCCCACCTGACAGTAAAAGGGAATGAATCCAACAGGTGTATGTATTGGTCACACAAGGCACAGGGAAAGCCAAGCCATGAGACACCCCCCCGCCCTTTTCACCTTCTTTCTAGGGTGGGACTTTCTACAGTGACTCCTAACACATACCCATCCATCTGGCACTGGTCTCAGTTAAGCTAATTCTACTTTAAGAATTTCTTTTTCATACTGTTTCTAGCTAGAGGAGTGGTTCTTAGCCAGGGATAGCTGTGCCTCCTAGGGGATATTTGACAATATCTAGAGTCAGAAAGGGAGCAGGGGTGGGGGTAGAGCAGTGTTCTTGGTATCTCCTGGGTGGAGGAGCTTTCAGCAGTTTACAGAAGAGCTCCAGGACAAAAAATGAGCTGGTCTCGAATGTCAACACTGCTGAGGTTGAGAAACTCTAACTTAGAAAACCATGTCAACTTTGAGTCATGTTGGGTGTCCAGAATTCCATGCACAGAAGATTTCAGAACAAATCTACAAGTCTGTGTGCATTTTTTTTACATCACTGGAAAGAAAAACCAAGAGCTCAAATCTTAAAGCTGGTAAACTTGAGATAGGACCACATACAGTAGGCTTTCATTTTCTCCACCTCCTGCATTAGAAAAAACTCCAAATAACTTGTAGAGTGGCAAGATGGTAAAGCAAATTTGCAAGATCAAGAGAAAGAGAGAGCTGCCCTAGGCTTAAGTTGGCTGGTTTAGATCAAAATTATCCTGCACAAGTTAGGATAGTTCTTTGCTTCTTCAGAAATTACTTAAAAGTGAATGTGTTATTTGCTTCCCAGAAGGTTACCTAAAAGTGATTTTCTCCGTGATAAAGGGGAGAAAAATAAGCAGACTATTAGACACTAGTGTATCTACTGAATTAAAATTCACTTAGTTTAGAAGAATTCTGTTCTGAGACTTGCTTGAATGTGGCCATATAGTGAGAAATTAGTAGTTTTATACTCAGAGTGGGCAGGGATTAAAGATATGTAAATTTTCCTGATTTTCAGAACCACCATTCTCCAAAAGTATAATTTGATGATTATAATAAAGTTTTTGTTACAAAAGTATTATGAAAAGAAGCCCTACAGCCATGAAGAATAAAAATCAGTGCATTCTAAGTAGAAGAGACCCACATTGTCTGGGCATGGACCTTGGGTGACCTGGAATATCTGAAGGACCCAGGACATGAGGTATCCCATCTGTCCAAATATTGTAGAAAATTCAAGACACTTTTCAAAGGGAATTCAACCTTCTCCCTGCTTCCCTCCATGTACTACATCAGGAGAACAATCTCAATGAACATCATGTCAATGCATTCTCTTCTAGGGACCTTATCTCACTAGTCATTGTGGGCTGGAGTGCTTGGGCAAAGAGTTTATGCTTCCCACAACATGTTGGCCATATTTCCATTTTAAGCAACTACACATATCTACAACAGTCTCCCCAGTAGCTAACAAGCTGCTTGAGGCAGATTTAGAAAAATGCCTGGAAATTGGTTGGTGTGCTTAATATCTGCTGAATGAACCATATGAGTATTAAACATTCCAGATACAATAATATAAAAAGATAATAATGACATTGAACAGTTACTGGGCTCTTAGATTACAGGCACTCTTCTAAGCACATGACATATATTAGTGCATTTAATTCTTACATTATAGAAGCACTGTCTGCTCACAAGTTACAGATGAAGAGTTGTCTAAACTTTAACTTTTAACAAGAAATTAAGACCTTTGAAAAAACATATACACACAGTTTATCTCATTTTTGAAGAGTACTATTTAAAAAACAAACTAATTTGTCATCTACATGTAGGATTCTAATTAATACAACTTATATCTCATTTCTAACAGTGAATGTGAATTTAACCTTATCAGAATCTTGAAGCTAGTCTCCTGTCTTTAATTTTCCTGCCCATTTGACCTCCCAATTATGAGCTAAGGAGCTAATCATAAAACCAACCAAAGAATTCGTAACACAATCACTGCTCTGCAGTAAGGGGAAGAAACCTCTGCACATCTTGGCAAGTGGTTCAGTGTTGTCATGGCAATCAAGGGAGGATCATCTATCCCAGGGGTGGGAGTTCACTTGCGCATGGACACAGCTTCCCTGGTTCCAAAGGATGAACTGAGACAAATAAACACATACCCAGTGCTCATAAGAACTGTAAGGTACTGTCTCTTATTGATTAGGTCAGAGAAAGCTACAGTGCGACACAATGATGTCTTTTCAAAAACTCAGGCCTTGCCCCCCACCCCCACCCCCATCTTCCCTTTCAGATAGCCCTGAGGATACATGTGCAATGCATACACACAAGGTTTTTTAAGTGATATTCTGAAATTCACCAAGAACATCCAGAATATAAAAGGCCGCTGATATATTTCTAGCATGACAATGAATCAGAACTAATTGGCTTGTACACTCTCTCAACCTGGCATTTAATGCCCAGATTAAAATATACGAAAAGATTTAAATATCTCAATGGCTTCCGGTATTGCAGCCTCCACCAATGTTCGCTACCGAGGCAGCGATCCAAACTGGCTCTTTGCACAGGGTCCTGACTAGAGAAGGAAATGTTTGCAAATTTGTACAGCTGCATGCAATGACAAATTCAGGCTCTGCAGCTTCACAAAATCCCATTTTCTGCTTCTGATGAGAAACTTGGCCTCAACTTGGTCCACAAATGATTTTTCTTCATCTAAAAATAGATACAAGAGAGAACCTCAAAGTCTATTTCTTTTTAAAAGTAGTTGTCAATTTTAAAGTAGCTACTAAATATTGCTAAAATGCGCAATTTCTATCAGCAAGATTTACAGAGACAGTTGGAAAACAAAGAGATGTACTACCTTTGTGGCTTTTCCTTCCCATTCAGTTAGGAAAAAGACGTTCCCAATGTATAGTAAAAGGTGTGGAGGAACCTGCAATCCCCACAGCCTGAATTGTTTTATTTGATATTAGTTATTATTGTAAGTAATTAGAATCACAATAGAAAATCTTTCCTTACAAAATGGAACCATTCAATACATTGCAAATGATCATAATTGAAGAGCAGCACATTTTCTTCAGAAATAACTTGTCTTTCAACAAGCTAAATACTTCATATATATTTTAATTACTTATGCATATAGTGACATGCACATGATAGACAGAGGAAGAAATATGCAAATTTATGGAAATGAAATGGTCACATAGTTTAAGATAATAGCCAATCCTTAGA